AGGCAAGATAGACCAGGGACATGTTAGCCTACCTGAGCAAGGACCTTATCCAAGATTGCAAAGGTTATGTCCAAAGAACTGAAGAGTGAACTTAGGAAAATCATACTGGCCAAAGATGGCACATTTAGAGCTTCAATAAAGATTAAGAAATGTGCTGTCTTAAAATCCCTAAAATATGAATACATTCATCAATTTATAAGATTAAAGAGGGAAAGTAATTGGCCACATTTTAATAATAATAGGAAACAAATGCATAATCTTGAAAACTAGGTGATTAAAAGGAAAGAATACAGCATTTATCCAGCATTTCTTTACAAAATGTAAACTGTATAGCAAATTATTAGACAAAGGAAAACATCTCTTTATGGAATTATCTCACATAATAAATGAAAATAAAAAGGTAGAATTAGGATCTCACCATTTGGCAAGCTCCACCAGTACCCATCAAACACCAATGGCTGCAAACATCACAGAAGAGCAAGAGCAAAATATCATGCAACTCCTGGTCAAAGGACAGGACACCACTTATAGTCTTGACAAAGAGAGAGCATCTGAGTCTGACCTGAGTCTCTGCATCTAGCTGCCAATCTGAGGCTAAACACAAGAGTATTGCAGTCCAAATTTGCAGTCATCAAAATGTAATACTATTGATTAGATGGCCCGGGTTTTGCAAAAAGTAAAAAGCAAGAAATAGAACGCAATAGAGGGCCATCCTATTTGTTAAAAGCAAATTAAAATACATGTAAAATTTGGCAAGTCTAGGGAAGGACACTGAGATAAAGCCCTTGAGTAACACTAGGATCTAATTACTATTTAAATTACTTTTAGAGGAATGGGACTGGGATTGTGATGAGGAACACCTACACCCTTCTGATGTCACTTTTGCTGTGATACTGCGTGAGCACTGTTGTTGTAAACTCACTTTCTTAAGTGCATTCCACATCTTGTGGCATCAACAAAGGCCAGAGACATTTCAGCATGAATGCTCACTCCTCCATTGAATGCAGAGATATTTTCCACCAGCAGAATTTTTAATGAGCATCAACTAAACCCTAGAGCTTGTCTTCAGTACTTTTATTAAAAAGAAGAGGAAGAATGTTTTTAACGCCTTGGGGGATGTAAAAGTATAGTTGTAAGGAGAGAAGCTTTTTCATGTTTCACACGAGCTTAAGTACGTCAACATATTTCCTAACTCTCAACACAGGACCTCTGGACTCAAAAGAAATACCATGGGCGAAGATCTGTGAGTTTGTATTATGCATTAAGAGTAAAGGCAAGATGAATTTGTGCCCTGATAAAGGTGAACAACTCCTTAGTTGGCCTTAATTAAATGATGTCTCTCTCTGTTTCTTTTTTGTTTTGTTTTGCATTTGGATAATACTAGATAATGTAAAGTGTATGCTTGTTTTTTCATTTTCTTTCTTTCTTCTCTCTCCTCCTTTTCCTCCTCTTCTCCTTTTTCTTTTATAACAAACATTTAAGTAAAGAAGATGTAAGGGCAAACCAATTTTGCTCATCAGCTAATAATATATTTCTTCATATTTGGAATCATCTATATGTCTGCGTCTTGCTATCATTATGACAATCCTCATTAGCAGTTATACTACTGTCCTACATGGTATGTCCACTTCACAGATATGAAGAATAACTCCATAACTCCATTCGTTAGGGTTTTCCAAGATACTCCCCCAAAGTAAAGGGTGGTGTTGAGGTTTTAGCCAAAACTTCTGCCTTGAAATCCCATATTAATCCATTCCAACAGATCCCCAGGGGATAGTAGTCCCACCATCCCTGTCTTGAGTTTACACCAGATGTCACAATCTTAAAAATTCTAGATCCCATTGCAATGCTTTAGCAAAAGTGAGCTCTTTTCTCCTAATCAGCTATTTCTCCAGAGAAGAGATTGGCTCTTAATAAGTGAGCACTGTCCCCTAGGGTTAGTTTCCTGTAGATGAATCCTTGAGCTTCAGACTTCATTGAGATAACGATAACTTCCGGACACCACCATTCTTCTGTGGCAGTGTTCAACTCAGTTGTTAAACTGTAGGAAATTACATCTTTTGGGGCATGTGCAAGAAAGAAGGCTGTCAAAGGAGGAGGTGAGAAATAAGTAAATAAGCCTCATTCTCCCACTGGTCAGTTTGTTAAGCACAAAGTTTATGCTACTAGGCTCACTTGGCACCTCAACACCACCCTTTACTTTTGGGGAGTATCTTGGAAAAATCCCAACCAATGGAAAATCCCAACCTTTGCTGGGGAACAGGCAGGGTTAAACTCTACACGGGGAGAGCTTTTGCCTTCACCTGGTGCTTAGGACAAATGAACAATCAACTATGCAAATACCACAAGCAAGGGGAACTATTTATCTGCACATATACTGATTGCTCAAGTATTTACTAGGACAGGGAGGCACCAGCAGGCTAATTGGGTATTGTTGAGGCACATTTGATGTCTGGGATAATTTTAATAATCCCATTTCCAAACCTCTTGCTCTTTTCTTTTAAATAACTTTTATTCCTTTTTATCTACCCAGAAAATCTAAGTTCTCAAGATACAGACTTAAGTAGCATGAGGGGCAAAGGAGGAGGAAAAGGAAGGGAGGATGCAAAGAAGAAACAGAAGCCTGGGCTGCACACGTCTGGCGCAGGCAGTTCACGGCAAACGTGGGCTTGTGCGCAGTTTTTCCTTAGAATATTTAAGGGCTGAAATTCGCAGCTGACCCACTCCTTAAAATTCTAAATTGCTCTGAATCAATATCAGAAGCAGGCAGAGCACATTTTCCTTGGACCATCTCTCCAACTCTCATCCCAGTTCCCATCCCCCCTTCTTTCTACTCAATTCATAGTTCAGTTATGAGCATTCATTTAGTGGATCACTTTGGGACTCAAAAATTCACGTGAGAAGGAAATTCTTGGTCTGCGTGGCTTTTTATCCTCTTCTCAATAAGTGAATGTAACTTGCTTAAGAGATCTTGAAAATAACGTTGAAAGTAAGAGGTTTGCAATGTAAAACTAGAAATGCTGAGGTTTGAGTTTGTGTACGACAGCTCCTTTGTTTCCACAGCTCTGGTGTATTTGTGTGCGTGTGTGTTCGTGTGAGTGCATGTTATTGTGCTATTTGTGGAAGGTGGAGTTTGCTCCACTTCTGCCCAAGTGACCATGGTTCCCTGGAGGACTCCAAGGTGCTTCTCACCCCTCTTCCTGTACATGTGCTACCAGAGTAGGGTGGATCGTCCCATTCCTTGGTCAGAAATTTTCCTTAGGAGCTGTATGTTCTCAGTGGGAATTTCCAAATTCTCGTAGTAATCTAATTCACAATAGGCTAAACACTTCAGGTGTTCCTAGGTAATTGTTAAACATGAAGGCAAATCCATGGGGTGTTTTGGAAAGAAATTCATTAAAATTTAAAAGTTCAAAGCTGAAAAGTTGGTTGAGTTTTAAGAAAAGTCAAATGAAAAGGTGACAAAACCTCAAATGAACAGTTTTTCTTGCCAAAGTGGTTAGTCACCGAAAGAAGGCTCTCCATCAGCCTTAGGAGAAAGTTGGAAGACATCCATTTTGGTTCACTTTACAACTAATAGTTTTAAATGCTATGTGAATGTTATGAAAATTGTAATCATAGAGGTGCCCAGGGTACTCAACTGTGAGAACTCTTACAAGACTTGGAAAACAGCACATCTAGATTGGCTTCTTATGTTATTCATGCCCCATGAAAAGCACAGGGGGAAAAAAAAACAAACCCTCGGAATCAATAAGAACCTTCCTATGTGACCATTATTTGGGCATAATCATAAAAATTTAGTATTAGGAAGAACGAAACATCCAATATTAGAGTGTAGAAAGTGATGGAGATGGTTGGTGAATAGCTCGCCAGGGTATGTGACTCAATGAAATGACAAAATGACCAAAACATTAATTTTAATTCTGAAGTGAAATGAGCCTTATTCATACAATGGATCCCAAGTGATTGGTTGAAAAATAAAGACTAA